AGAATAGAGTGATGTTGTGTGTCATGGATAAATCTTGGAGATTTTGTTTTTTTTTAACATACATAAAAAAAAAATAAAACGAAAAATAAAAATAATTGAACGACGACAAACAACAAAGAAAAAAGAAAAAAGAAAAATATCCAAACACAAACGGTTTGAATAGGGTCGTTTACTCACGCTCAGGCAGATCGGAGATAAGAAAACATTTAATTTATCATCGCAAATTGTTTAATCCATTTCAATTACTCATCTTAATTGGCTAATAGTGGCATTATCATGGTTCGGACGAGACCGAGCTATTTTTTATCACGAAATTCCTAGTTAACATCATAATAGAGTCCAACAACACACCGATAATTTTTTATTTATTAATACATCAATTAATCACACAAATCGATTGTTTATTAATAACACACGCACACGTCCTCCGCAATATGATTCAAAGTATCATGTTGTATCAAATGTCGATACTAAGAAATCCGATCCCACAAACTCCTAGAATATTATTTGTTTGAACCCCGCTGTCCGCAACCTACACACACTACAGCCCCATATTGTTTTATTATTGGTCTTAACATTCTTTACGAACGAAGATGTGATTGATTTGAGTTCATCACGAAAAAAAAAATAAAACATTCTCAAGTTTTAATCATTACAGGAAAATCATACGGGCTAACCTCAAACCTTTATATATCTGTGAAAATAATGATACGTCTAGCTCATCTTAAATCAGATACAGAAAAAAGCTTTAAAAGAATAGACGATTTGTTATATGAACATGTTAAAGTGAGCATATACAACACCATCAACACGCATTTACATGCAATTAATTTTAACATCGTTAGTTTAAAGTTTTCAAAAGCTTCATTTGATAAAAATATATCAATATTAGCATCAGTAAAGAATTAAATAAAGAACATGTAAACGAAAGAATAATAATATTTAAAAATAGTAATATTTAATTATTTAAATTGAGAATTTCAACCAGATTTTTAAGAATAAATCATAAAAACCGGATTTTTAAAGTAAAATTTCGATCCTTGGTTTTATTTGGTTTGGATAATTAACAAAATGCAGATCATCTAATCTGCAGTATTGACGTGGATGATAGCAATAGTTACATCTAACCCACCTTAAAACTTTTTTAAAGGCGACGATCATTCTCATGAATCCAAATCCAAACATTCAAAAAGCGTTTTCAATAGCAAACACCTTGAAATTTTAGCCTCTGCTTCCTCAAAAATTATGTTTTTAAAAATGAGTCTGAGCTACTTAACATTCAGCAATCATTGATCATTGAATACTGAATATTGAATATTTTTTTGATTTCTATACAATGCCGTGAAACAGCAAAAATCCTTTTTTTGTAAAAATTTATTTTATTTTTTTTATTGATGATCATAAGTTTTTCCTTGGAATAGACAATTCCTGTTGCATTAATTTAACTCCGTTAAATAAAAAAAAATTTTTTAATTTACTATAGTTGGGTTCGGTCAAAGACATCCTAAATTTTGTGCAAATTTTAAAAGTATAGAAGTCATTTCTGTACAACCTTTTAAAAAAAATAGCTCTATTAGTTGATAGAATATGTCATTAGTTTTAATGTAATAAGAGATTTTATTTGGAGTTTTATTCTTTTTTTTAAAACATGTACTTTACTATGTATGTCCATGAGCGCTATGATCATTACTAAATTTAGACTAATTCTCGACCATCATATCTAAATTTGGCAGTAAGGAAAATAATTTTTTAACCAAAAAAATTTTTAACGAACCCAGGGCTGGCTTGCATAACTCAAATGAGCACTTGGCTAAACTGACTAAACTATTTAGTCATATTTTAAGTCGAGTTTAGTCAAGTTTAGTCAAGATGATTATTACTAAATTAGGTTTTTAACCTCCTTTATGCTTGCCAGCCCTGAACGAATCACGAAATTGCAATTTTGAAATTTGAGCACGTGGCACAGCAACAGGAGTCTTTAGACAGAGCCAACCATATTAATATTACACAAATTTTATATTGCGGCCAATTTCAAAAAATGTATCAAATTTTAAAATTTTTCAATTCGCTAAAAATGCAATAATATTTTAAACCCCGCAATGTTACACAACATCAATTTTATTATTGTAAAGGTTTGTACTCAAGCTACCATTTACTGCGCCTCGTGGCAAATTCAAAAATGTGTCAAATTTTGAAATTTTCTATATACAAATAATATTTTTAAATCCGCGATGTCACACAACATCAATTTGCATATTTAATATATTTAATTAATACCTAAAGACAATTTATTGGAATGAATACTTGAATAGTGAAGGGGTAAAAATTATTTTGAAAAATGACCAAGTTATTAAGTACTTAATAACTCTATTGGTGACTTATTAAGTGTTAAAAACACAAACATGCAGATCTCTTATTGGTAGCAAAAATTATTTGAATCAAATATTAATTTGATAAACAAGTTAATAATTAATTTAGTTTAAGTGATGACAGTGCATAAAATTCAGTGTCCGCACACTGAATTCTATACACTGGGATTGATTGACAAAATGGATCTTTTGGATTAATAATTCTCAACAGTTAATAAGTGGTTAATAACTTGGAGTTATTAGCAATTTTTCTGACATCTTCAAGCGTACAAGACTTTCCTTTTATAAATTACTCATGTGAGAAATTTGTACCCAAGTCACTTGAGGATAAAACCCATGTGCTTGAAGATAAAACCCAAAGCACTTGAGGATATTCTTAAGCTGCACAAAAAATATTGATATCAAAAAAATGTAAATTTTTTTTGCTTGAGATTCAGCCTTAAACTTTTGTCCTTGTTGGCTGACCATAGCACCCTAGGATTTGTCCATGGTACTGGTCCATTGATGATTTATTGGTGTAACATTTTAACCATCTTTAGTATATATTTTATTAATGGCAATGGATGGACCATACCAAAGTTCATTGGTCTCAATGGACCATATGGATACAAAAAATTTTTAAAATTTTTGTAGATTTGTAAGAATGATTTTTACTGTAAGCGCAAATACCATTATAAAAAACAAAGTTAACAACAAAATGGTTTTTTAACTATCATCATTATAAATCATTTAAAAAAAGATATTATTCTTCAAAAAAATCTTCATCCGAGCCTGTTACACTATCATTTAGTAAATATGATCCATTATCAAATAAATCAATAAATTTAATTCCACCACTTTTGATTCTTCATGGATTATTTGGATCAAAACAAAATTGGAAATCTTTAGCAAAAATGTTTGCTCAGAGTTTAAATACTAGTGTTTACGCCTTAGTAAATTAAACATTACTTACATGCATATACTTTGATTTGTATATAAATACATTCATCTAATAATAATAATATTGTTGTTCTTTATCTTTAAGGATTTAAGAAACCATGGAGATAG